AAAAAAAAAAAAAAAAAAAAAAAAAAAAACCATGAAACCTATTGGATTTTGCCACAATGAGTTACAGTATGGAAACATAATGATTGGGTGAAGAACCAAAGCAATAAGCATCATTGTTATTTACAATTGAGCAATCACTTATCCATCAAAAAAGAAAGAAGAAGGTCCTAACCTTTAATTATACGGTTGTACATCTTATATTAAATTTCCTCATTTGTTATACAACTGACTTGAAACAAAGCACAAAGCTGTTTACATAATCTAGATACAATACAGAGCTCCAGACCTGATAATTTAGAGACCAAAGATGAAGCCAAGCTCTTTCAAATGTTTTCTCTTCACCAGGTTACAAAGAAATGTAAATCTTTCTTTCTCCTTTCAAAATTATACAGCCACTTTGTTGTGAAACAGAGAGAAAAAGGTAGTTTTGTTCGTTATATAGTGAGACAGTTTGGAATAAAAACATTATCTTCTTCGTGTAAACTGAGTATAACAACTTTAGACTCTATAGTTCATGTTTCTTACAAGTCAAGAAACACAAAGAAACAAAGAGACAGTACAATGAGTTCAGGCTGACATCTCCCTAATCAGCCAGTTCAAGCTAGGGAAAGCGAAATAGAGGACTAAAAACGACGGAACAGCCAAAGCAATAGTGACAAAGAAATAGACTGCGAGAACTGCAGCACTCACAGGGATCGCATATAAAGCCATCAACAGGAACATGACTACCAAAGGAAACTTAGCCAACAAATGAGCAACAGTAGCCATTGACTTACATATATAGCCATGAAGTCTCCCAGCTCTCAAGTATCCTCTGGTCACATCTGAAGCAGTATTACTCACTTCATCACACCTCTCTTTCATATCTCTCTCCTCTGAAGTGACCCTTTTGTTGTCACTGCGCGAGCCATTCATGCTTTCGACCATCCATAAAAGGTAATAGTTTTTGGAAGGAAACTTGATGGTTCCATTGCATAATAGCCTCAAAGAAAGCATATTGCACCAAGGGCAAGTAATGAAGAAGGGAAGATGGAGCGGAAAACCTGAGGATTTGATCACAACGGCACGTGGAAGCCCTAAGAGACAATACTTGCAGATGGTATGACCACACCATAATACATAAGGAACATTCTCAACGACGTTGAAAGGTTCCCAGCAAATGGGACACTCCAGTTTTTCTTCCTTCCTTGCCTTTCTTCCATCAATTAAAGGAGCTTTTATCGGTTCTGTGACAGTATCCTCTCCCATTGATTTAACTCCTTCTTTTGATGGATCCTGAAGTTAAATTCCACACAACAGAATGGTGATGGCTTTGTTCTTGACAACCCTTCAAAGAAACAAGAAGTAAAAAAATGATCAGTTACAGAAAACGAACACTGGTCTCTTTACAGACATTAGAGAGAGATGGTAAGCCAAAAGACATAAATAACCATATTTCAGACAAGAAGTTCACAACCGAACCTACTAAGACAAGTAAAAGAGAAATGTCTCTGTTTTGCAAGAGTTTATCTAGTCATATGAGAGATATGGATATTTGCAAAGAATTATCCAAAACTCTGACTTAACGACGCCGTTTCAGTAAGGAAGACCATAGAGAAGAGACACGCGTAGTAAGACACGGTGACGCGGAAACGCCTTTCGAGGTTTACCGCCGCAAACAGATTTCTCACCTTAAATCTGACGCCGCTAGATTCACCATAAACGCACCGTTTTATTAACGCTCACATTTAGAGGTGGGATTTTGACCTATACCGAAACCAGCCAAACCAAACGAATTTGTTTGGTTTCGATACAATTAGGCTTTGTTCGGCAATTAGTTCGTTTAGATTTCTATTCTTTAAACAATTAAAACCAAATCATTCTATTTTCAATGAACTAATAAAAATATAAATATAATTTAACCATATACTCTAATTTGTAATTAAAACTAAACTATAACCAAAAAGGTATAACCAAATGTTAATCGAACCAAACCAACCGAACCAACATTTCATTCAGCTCAATATGACATAATTTTATGTTAACCGAACTAATTAAAAACCAAATAACCAAAACCGAACTAACCTTTCTACCCAAACCCACATGCCCATTCATACTAACTTCCATTATCCATCGGTTCACTTCCGTAATTGTCAAATTATTTTTTGACTAGTAAAGAATTTTTTTTTTTCATAAAGATCAATTTACTAAAAACTGAAAAAACAATTTAAAAATAACAATAATTAAATGACATTTGTCGGTGTGAGTGAGCTGTACGCGTATCTTCTCCTACTGCTTCTGGATCGAGCGAAGCATTTTCCTCCGACAATGTATTTTTAATTTATGACAATGCTTCCGCATTATTGGGTTTAGATTCCCTTTTTTTTAATTAGGGTTCTTCAGATCGAATATCCTCTCTCATCATACTAAAGATCTGATCTTTCTTTCAGATCCGTAACTACAAAGACAGAGACACACACTACAAAGACTGTCTTTTCAGACAAAAGAAAAAAAAGGAACAAACTTTAATGTTCCTCGCAACTCTCTAACTGAAAAATCCACACAAAGAAATGGACTCGCCGGCGCACAAAAGACCCTCCGGAAGCGGCGGCGGCGGAGGACTCCCGACGTCAACAGTCTCAAACGGCGGAGGAAGAGGTGGTCGCGGCGTGTTACCACGTGGCAGACAGATGCAGAAGACATTCAACAACATCAAGATCACCATCCTCTGCGGGTTCGTCACCATCCTCGTCCTACGTGGCACAATCGGCGTCGGAAACCTCGGAAGCTCAAACGCCGACGCGGTTAACCAGAACATCATCGAGGAGACTAACCGGATCCTAGCCGAGATCCGGTCTGATTCGGATCCGACAGACTTGGAAGGGCCTCAGGAGACAGAGATGAGTACCAATGAGACGTATGCCTTAGGGCCTAAGATAACGGATTGGGATAGTCAACGTAAGGTATGGTTGGAACAGAACCCTGAGTTTCCTAGTACTGTTAATGGCAAAGCTCGGATCTTGTTGCTAACTGGGTCTCCTCCTAAGCCGTGTGATAACCCTATTGGTGATCATTATCTGTTGAAGTCTGTGAAGAACAAGATTGATTACTGTAGGCTCCATGGGATTGAGATTGTTTACAACATGGCTCATTTGGATAAGGAGCTTGCTGGGTATTGGGCCAAGTTGCCTATGATTAGGAGGTTGATGTTGTCTCATCCTGAAGTTGAGTGGATCTGGTGGATGGATAGTGATGCTTTGTTCACTGACATTCTGTTCCAGATCCCTTTGGTTAGGTATGAGAAGCATAACTTGGTGATTCATGGTTATCCGGATTTGTTGTTTGATCAGAAGTCTTGGATTGCTTTGAACACTGGGAGTTTTTTGCTGAGGAATTGTCAGTGGTCTTTGGATTTGTTGGATGCTTGGGCTCCTATGGGACCTAAAGGACCGATCCGTGACGAGGCCGGGAAGGTGTTGACGGCTTATTTGAAGGGTAGACCGGCTTTCGAGGCGGATGATCAGTCAGCTTTGATCTATCTTTTGCTTTCTCAGAAAGATACATGGATGGAGAAAGTGTTTGTGGAGAATCAGTACTATCTACATGGGTTTTGGGAAGGTTTGGTTGATAAGTATGAGGAGATGATGGAGAAGTATCACCCGGGGTTAGGTGATGAGAGGTGGCCTTTTGTGACTCATTTCGTTGGATGTAAACCTTGTGGTAGCTACGCTGATTACGCGGTGGAGAGGTGTTTGAAGAGCATGGAGAGGGCTTTTAACTTTGCAGACAATCAAGTGCTGAAGCTGTATGGTTTTGGACATAGGGGATTGTTGAGCCCCAAGATTAAGAGGATCAGGAATGAGACGGTTACTCCGTTGGAGTTTGTAGACAAGTTTGATATCCGCAGAACGCAAGTGGAATTCAAACCACGTAACTAGGGAGGAGACACGTATAGGTAATATATATGACACTTCACAAAATGCAAAGCAAAATTTGTTTGCCTGTACTTGCTACTTCATTGTTTCTTCTGCCTTTTTTTGTTTTTGTTTGTTTGTTGTTGTTTGCAAGAATATTTTAGTTGCAAAATTCATTTTTTCCATAGATGTTATTTTTCTGTTTTCTTCACTCTAATATACATTGTCCTAAAGCAATCGATTTCTGCAAATGCGTCTTTTATTCTTACAAAATCGAATCTCTTTATGTTATGTCCTAAAGAAAAACTAAAGTCAACACTTTTAGATTCGTGAGAGTGAGTAATGGGTTTAAAATGAGTAACCCATTACCGTTAAAAATCTGAACTTTAGGGATACGATGACGTCTATCGCACGTCATCTTTCATCTGGAGGATTGATTAACAAAGTGGATTCGCTTAAGTCTAATCACACCTTGAAGCGTTATCTTGAATCTAAGGAGCCGATCAAAGCTCTCTTAAACTTCCGGCAACGATTTAGAGAAAGCCCTAGTTTCATAGACAGTTTCTCTGTCTTGTTCGCCATTAAAGCTTCATCATCTGCTCATAAAGGTCATTCCTTTATAGGCCAACAGATCCACGCTCTTGTAAGAAAACTTGGGTTCCATAGCATAGTCCAGATTCAGACATCCCTTGTCGGTTTTTACTCAGCTGCAGGTGATATCGCTAGTGCACGCCAAGTGTTCGACGAAACGCCTGAGAAACAAAATGTAGTCTTGTGGACGGCTATGATTGCAGCTTACGCTGAGAATGAGAAAAGTGTGCAAGCTCTTGAGATGTTTCGACGAATGGAAGAAGAAAGAGTTGAGCTTGATGAAGTGATTGTTACTGTGGCTTTATCGGCTTGTGCTGATCTCGGGGCGGTACAGATGGGAGAAGGGATATATTCGCGGAGCATCAGGAGGAGACGAAGATTGGGTGTGGATTTAACTCTGAGAAACTCACTTCTGAACATGTATGTAAAAGCTGGGGATGTTGAGAAAGCGAGGAGAGTCTTTGATGAAACAGTGAGAAAAGATGTGACTACTTACACGTCTATGATCGTAGGGTATGCTTTAAACGGCCAAGCTCAAGAATCATTAGAACTCTTCAAGAAAATGAGTCAAGATTCATCCGTGTCTCCAAATGATGTGACCTTCATTGGCGTCTTGATGGCTTGTAGTCACGGCGGTTTAGTTGAAGAAGGGAAGCGACAGTTCAGGAGCATGGTTGAAGATTACAATCTTAAACCTAGAGACGCTCATTTCGGATGTATGGTGGATTTGTTTTGCCGTTCAGGGCGTTTGAAGGAGGCTCACGAGTTCATAAATCAGATGCCGGTGAAGCCAAACGCGGTGATTTGGAGAACCCTGCTTGGTGCTTGTAGTCTTCACGGGGATGTTCAGCTAGGGGAAGAAGTTCAGAGACGGATCTTTGAGTTAGATCGTGATCATGTTGGGGACTATGTTGCCTTGTCGAATATTTACGCTGCGAAAGGAATGTGGGATGAGAAACTGAAGATGAGGGATCGTGTGAGGAAAAGAAGGGAGCCTGGGAAAAGCTGGATTGAGATGGAAAACATTATCGCTGAATTTGTTTCAGGGGGTGGTAATGATGATGGGAAGCTAATGGTGGGAGAGATTAGCGAGGTTTTGAGGTGTTTAGTTACTTGTATGACAAGTTATGATTATGTGGTGGAGAATATTAACTCCAGTTGTTGAGGTATAAAAATGTGCTTTATATAGATTGAAATTGTTATGTTTCAACTAAGAAACTTTGATCCCCTTCTTGTTCAACATTGTTGAATCTATATTTTAATATAACTTTAATTCATCAGACATGGGTCATGTCATGTCTTCATCTTTTTATTTGGTTTGTAAATTATTCTTGTTCTTTTATCACTTGTAGCATGAGCTTTCACAGGAGCTTTGACTGGTGCTGACTGCTGTGGCAGGCAGGGCAGTTCAGTCTAGAGTCCTCCTTGGGGCTGCACTTGGCGCTATCGCTGGAGCTATTCTCTCTGTTGGAGTGTTAGAGGCTTCTCGTACCTACTGATCAAAGGGTCCTTAGGTGTTAGTCTTAAAATTCTTCCGAGCAATCTTGCACGTTTGTCAAGTACATAGGAAGATCAGTTTTTCGGTGTTTTTCTAATTGACTTTATGGTCGAGATGGAGAAAGATTTTGAGAGAAGTTTGGTGGAAGGTATAATGACATAGCTTTGAGATGTTACTGGTGGACCATAACAGTTATGGGGTGGCATAATGGCTAGTCGTTTATTTGGTATTTTTTGTTTTGGATTCAGGCAGATTTTGTGGAGCAGCTGTTTCGTGGGAGACTAGTAGATGAACAATTCAAGTCGACAATGGTGAATTCACACCACTGGAAGGTTCTTTTTTTAATTCTCTCAACTCTCATCTCCTTGTGTATAGTTAGAAATTATACTATGAAATTCCATTATTGAGAGACGCTAAAAGTGCCACTGAAAGCTATATCATACGAACATGACTGCAGACCGCTCAAGTATTTGAAGGGAGTTTTATACACACACTTACGTTCCTGCATCTTCCTGTGTTCACTCAATGTTCTGCAATTTCATCTAGTTTTAAGACTGTTTTCACAATTGGGTTCATGAGTTGTTTTTTACTACTGTATGCAGTTAAGAATCTCTGATGTTAGCTATGAAGAGCGGGATGATTTTATGGTGAACTGGAACGCAGAGTCTTATCAGGTCACTTGTTAAGGAACCTATCATGCCATATCATATCAATTGAGATGACCAAGAGGCAGATCATTCACTGCACAATCTGTTTGCAGGTTTCATCCTGTTCCATCCGTTGATACCAACTGATCAAACTTCTTATCCATCTCACATCTTGGAATTTTACAGGACATTGAAGCAGGCAAAATCACACGAAGCTTACCGAGATGTGATCACACGTTCCACCTGGCTTGTGTTGATAAATGGCTCATCAGACATGGATCATGCCCCATTTGCAGACAGGCCGTTACAGAATAAAACATTTACAGATATGTTGCCGAGTAGTGTACACAGCAAACAAGACCATTATCCTTATGTGTTGTTGTAAGTCTCTTGTACCCCTATCTAAATCTCTCTTTAGCATCTTTCACTGGTTTCTACATTCGAATGTATACAGTATATTATTGTAGACATGAATAATAACACACACCTACAGATATGTTGGAAAAATATAGAACTTGATCAAGTTATGCATTCATACATTTAGTTAGTTCTTAACATTCCGTACGTGTCTATTGGGAAACTCAAAGACTCTTGACCTCACAACACCTAGCTCAGTTAAAAAAGATTACTCATCTCTTAATCGTTACAGACTTACAGCCATGGGACCGTGGCGTTTGGGAACAGGGCTCCATTGACCTTGCTCTCGTACAGAAAGAGTCATGATCAGTCTCGTTCAATACCCATGGCTTCAACCCTCCAAGGCCATGAGCCACGTCCACGAGTGAAGACCAGGGGCTTGTGACCATCAGCACATCAGAACAACTTAGAAGGTAAATCTCAGTCCAAGCTCTCCTGCTCTCCATGTTCCTCTGGGTGTTTTGGTATTCCTTGTGGCTAGGCCTGTGTACACTGACTATCTCTCCCGTCACTGTGGGATTTTCCCAATAAACGTCTCTGATACTCTCAAAGATCCCTGGAGAAGAAGATGAGACGAACACTGCCTTTGACTTTCTTTTTACAACTTGGCTTGAAGGGAGGTGTCTCTTTTTGTCTACTTCAGGAAGCAGCTCATGTCTAACTCCACAAGCTAGAATCTGTTCTACCAAATGCTGAAACTGATCATTGCTAGTATCAGAGACCTCAATACGGATTCCTATTCTTTGATCAGCTCCAGCAAGATAAGCGCCATAGTATCGAGTGATGAGTCCCCAGACAACATTAGTTGGGTGAAAGAGATGATTACCCAAGAAGTAAAAAACCGTTTCTTTAACCGGGAAGAGCTTCTCAAGTTCCTGCTCAAATGAAGAGAAGGAGAAGAGTGATGGGACAAAATAACTATCTGCTTTCATGATCAACCAAGGTGTTTCATTCAACAAAGCTTGAGTTTCCTCACGAAAGAAAAGCCTTTGCTGGTCACTGGAATCTAGAACAAAATGGCGAAGAAGAGACTGTTCATTGAGCTGGGTTTTGAGTGGAATTTCTGAAGGTAAAAACCAAGAAGTGTTTGGAAACGGCTCGCAGAAAAGATCAGCCATCTCAGCTCCTGGCTCCACAAGTAAGACTCGGTTCGTTAAAAGAGCATATAGAAAAGCAGAAGCTAGACTGAGCATCCTACTTCCAAGCTCACCACCAGAGTTCAACCATATCACATAACTACAACCAGAGACTCCACCATCAGACTGATCTTTCAACTTGAGTTTGTCTAGAGTTGAGTTATAGGAACTAGTAAATGGTCCACACTTTCTATGAAGATCTTGGTATCTTTTGAATCTAGAATCCAGGTAAGAAGACTGCTTAAAAGGCGATTCCTTTCTATATAAACTCGCCTCATACCTGCTCAAGCATGATTCTTTATCGAAACCATGGACAAGATGATCCTTCTTCTCACTTAACCCACTGTTTGTATCATTGGCTGAAACATTGCCTTATATAACAAAGAAAGCAAACCGTTATGGAGAAAGATTTCATGCAAAAGAAGTAACTTTTATGACAAGACTTTACCTTGGTGGAATCTGAGCTGAAGAACCCTAGAAGCTACATCAGTGTCCACAACATCATCAGAAGGTGGGTCTCTGAGTACAACCGACAGAGAAAACATAACGGAAGCAACCATAAGAACCGCAAGAAGTAGACCCATCGATTTCATCGAGCTCAAACTTGGTTTCATTGCATCCACTTGGCTAGACCCGGTTCGAGTGTCCGAGTTGATCACTGGTTCACCCGCATCCGAGTTCTTCTTTCCCCGCTTCATATGGTCAGAGAGAGAGGGAGAGGAAAAACAACAGGTGAAAACCGGGTCGGATCCTAAAATGAGTGGTCGGGTCTTGAAGAAAGACTTGAACAGAGTTGGTGGTGGAGTGTTGAGTGAAGACAGAGATTGGCTGAAGTCATCATGTGATGTGTTTCTGAGAACAGAGATGGAGACAGTGAGTACGTGGCAGGGACAACGACAAGTTTTTACTACGATTTTACGAGACACTACCATCTAAATTTAACAACTAACTAGATTCTTATTTTATCAAATTTTTATTTTAATATATGCTACTAGGGTCGGCCCGCCCTACGGGCGGGATATACTTTACTTGTGATTTATATTATTATTATTTTTTTTATAATTTAGGGGTTTGTGTTTAGATTCACATTTATAAGAGGCGTGTATGAGATATACAATTTATATATTTAAGTTGTTGGTTAGTCTGTTCGTAAATAATTTTTATTTTGACTTTTTATGTAACTATTTCTTGCTTGATTTAAACTACTAAATATAGGATTTTAGTTTGTGGGGGAAAAATTCATAATTATTTCTATAATCTATTTGAGATCAACTACCAAAAAGTTTTTGTTGTCAAAATAATCTTTGGGAATTGATGTTAGATTAAGTGATAGCGTCATTGATATATTTGACAGACCAATTAATTACTCGCATGAAAGTTGTGTGTTTACCAAAAAAAAAAAGTACGAAACTTGCAAAAGAAAAAATTCAGTATGCAAAAATTGTACTTCAACAGTAATTCCTCCTCACATGTCATGTGAGAATATATGTAAGAATATGGATGAGTGTCTATGAAAATCTATTTTATTTGTGAAATATATATTAATAAATGTATTGCACAATTTTATAAGTAGCCGTAACTCTTTGATTAGCGGGTTTAGAGTATCACTTGCAAGATTTTGATGTGTAATTCAGGCTTCAGAAACATTTTCAAAATAAATACAAATATATGTGATAAAAGGAGTTCAACTAAGAAATCATTATGTGAATGGGTTTAGCCTCACTGCTTCACTTTTCTTACACTTCATTTTTATGCACACTAACCTTAGTATTTTGCTTTTAAAATTAAGGCAAAGAATAACGCAATTATTATACTCATAAAAAAAAGTAATCATCAAAGCTCTCATAACCCCTTTCGTAGATTCTCATATAGACTCTCATATCTCATAACCAATTTTCCAACAAAGGCAAGATAAAAAGGTTCGGAAATGTGATATACAATATATCATAGAAAGAAACAAAAATCAGGAAGAAAAAAGAAACCAGAATATCTCAACACACACATTGTCAAATTTAATATAATTCACACAACTCTACATAGTCAAGTTTTATATAATAGTAACATATGTGTGTTTCAACAAATGACATGTAAAAGAGAAGTGCAGTTATTAATACCAATTTCATAATATATAAGATAACATAAATTTCAGAACCTGAAACATATAACCTTACCAATATTGAGGGGCAGTGACTATGACGGTGATATATAATCGCACATCCGGACAGGTAGAAGTTTGCAATAGATTCCAAAGAACTCATAAACATCACTTCCCACACCACATGTTCCCCCTAAGAGCAAAAAAACAAAGATGATTTATTCATATCTGAACTCCATCTATAAGGGTACGCCGAGTTTCAAGCTTACTTGTGCTACGATCAGAAACCAAACGCTGAGATGAATCTGTCTCACCAGGCTTGGTTTTGACTCTATCCAGATTAGAGTTGGAGTTAGAAGGTACTGAGCTCGTAGTGGTAGTCTCACCGGAGACGTTTCGATTTTGCTGCGGCGCATTAGCAACCACCGAGAAGCAATCTGCTCGATCCAAGAGGGCTGAATTATAAGGAATTTCCCCTAAGAGCAAAGCGGCAGTGGAGAGATGGTAGAGGATCCCGCATCACTAAGGTTGTCCGACAACTGGACAGAGCTTGGAAATGAAATTATATGTTCCATAAGTAACAGAAAATCAGCATATCTGATTTACAAAACAGTCAATAGCATCTTGAAATCGCAATGAATGTATAGCTACCTCATCTTCTTAGGTATCACAACTATATTAATGGACCAATGCCCATCACTGAGATATGGATATAACGTTAGACTACTAAACAAATTAAATCACTTGGACTAACATAGATGATAGTTTCATAATGCAATATAGCAATGCAAATTCCTTATACATGTTGAAAATTACAAAAAAAGGAGCCGATACCTTAACAACTTGGTGTTGTGGCTGACTTTAGAGTGTCTTGAAGCTTGTAGTCGAGCAATTTGTCAGCTTTTAGAGATGGAATCAGACAGAAAAAAACCAACAAAAGGAAAAAGAACTGTCTTTAGATATGACAGGAAAAGATAATAAAATATAAAAACTCTGATCACAGTAGTAGTGTATGATTGTAGCCAAAACGTTCCGGGATTTCAAACCAATACTATGAAAAAGTGTTGTTAAGAATATAACTGAAAGCACCTGTCTCTAGTTTAAAGGTGTGATTTTTAATCAGCAATAAGAAGATTCAAGTGCCACGGTTCAGACTCTAAAGTGTGAAGAACATAATTGTTTCTTCAATCACAATGGACCAACACCGAAAAGAAACATAAACAAAACTAAAAACAACCCAGAAATCAAATCAATGAACTTCAACTCTTTCAAAGCCATAAGCTGAGTGAGCAAGGAAATCACAGAGATCAATCCTTACTGTTAGAGAGTTTTTTATTCTTAACCTTGAAGACATCAGAATCCTCGTCTGCGATAATTTCAAACCAACATAAGAACTAAATTATTATCTCCTTGCGCTCCATCACCAAATCAATAATGGAAACTCACTGTTAATGAAAACAAAATTCGATGGCTGAACACAATGATAATCAGTAAGTTGCTTGAACACCAAACCTTCAAGCCAGAAAGGGGAGAGACGAGTTCGCCGTTCTGCTCAAGCCTCAAGGAGATGAAGGATTGCAAATATTTATACAGATCGCGAGAACAGAGCATTGATGTCGAAGTAATGGGAGATCAAGGAGATGAAGAAATAACGCAAGCGATTAGAGATTCTCAGGAGAAGGGCAAGGTTCGTCATCGCACGAAGAGGGTAGTCGACTCTCTCGAAAGCATATAATGAATTAGGTCACGGGGACTCCGCGTTTTGGCTCGAGACGAATGAGTTATTGACACGAAAATAAACGACTCAGAAAGAAAAGATGTACACGTGGACTTTGTGACATGGCATCTGACATGGACAGTCTTAGAAGGAAGGAAACACAAGTTTATATAATAGATATATAATATATGTATATAATATTATATATATATATTTGACATATATATATATATAATCAAAAATATAACATTTATAATATGTCAAACATTTTTTCTCTTATGGTTTAGTTTTGTAATATCTATTTATATTAAGAAATAATCAAAAAATATTATAAAAATATAATTAGTTAAATTCAATTGATCTATATCGGTTAAGACTTAATTTAATTTAAGTTGATAGGTTGTATTTTATAGAAGACATGATATATTTTAGTAATAACTATGAAAGAATCCAAATTTAAATGACAACTTTCAGTAATAGATAAAAACCAATCCCTAAATTAATAGATTAGATACTACTTAAAACAAGTTTTGGTCATTTCTGTATCCTATTTCTTCTTTCAAAGAAATGTATTTTCTTAACATTTTTCTTTACTTTAATGCAGCACTAGAGAGACTTTTTAAAATGTGCCAACTAGAATGGAAAAACAAAATTACACACCAGCTGAGAAAGAGAAAAGCAAAAAGCAAAGAGGTTAAAAAATTATTTTATTTATTGAAAAACAAAGTTCACAGTGGCTTCATCTAGCAGGAAATACACATCACCTCCAGAAAAGCCGTGACATACAGCGACTCCACGTAGTGGTATGTGTAGACCGCTATGGAACTAAAATCAAAATATTGACCGGTTTAGTTTGGTTTGATCCGGTTTAGTTTAGTTGAACATAATTGTTTTTAGTTATCTATAAATAGATTTAAACCTCCAAAACTCTAGTGCATTTGTTTTTCTCTCAAAAATTTGTCTTGTAAAGGCTTGAACTTTTATATCATTTTAAAGAAATATATCATTTTATATTTTGTTCCTCTTTTCATTAACATGATTAATCTTAAATCTCATTTAGGTTTAGCGTTTTTTATGGAAATTAGTGAGTAATCACTTTGTGGTTCATGGGTTAAGTAGATTAGGGTGATTAAATGGATATTTATGATGACTCTTATTTTATTAGTATTATTTTATGCTTGCTAAGTGTTCTTAATGATAGATTAGACTTGATTATCCTTATCTAGAGTTTAAGCTATTTTATGTACGGAATGTGTTTGTTAAAATGCTTGAATGAACTTGAAATTGCTATAACTTGAATAATCAAAAGGGATTTGATGTTAGGATTGTTAGATGGTTAATAGACTTGATATAAAGCATGCTTGAATGTGGTAGGCCAAAGAGAATTGATGTTTAATGCATGAATAGCATAAAGATTATTGTCACCAGAATGGATTAATCTATTAGAATGGATTAATCTATTTGAATGAGATTTAAATCTATAGACTTGTTGATTGTTTTGATTTGGGCATCCTAAATTGAAACTTGATATCATATTTCAGTTATCTTAGCTCATGGATCCATTCTTATCATTTGATTGAAAAGTTAGTTCTTACACTTTCTTCTTGATTAGATTTGAGATCATATTTATTTATATTTCTAGGATCTTATCTTGTTACAAATCATCTTTCTTATTTGTTAGAGTAAGAATATTTGTGTATTCTTAATATTATAAATCACTAGTTTCTTTTAATGACATGTCATTCGATTTTGACTTGTTTACACAATATGTTAATTGGTGCGTGTGTGTAAACATTTAAAAAGTGAATTATCTAAAACAGATGAATTAAAAATATATTTTATCTAAAATATTTAAAATTATATGAATTACCTGAAGAATATAATTACCCCAGTTATTTTATCTGGAATATTTAAATTCATCCTATTTAATCCAAAATAAACTGGCAAATCTGATTATACCCGTTTATTCAAAATTATTAAAAAGATAAGTACCAGACGAAAACAGAATTAAGACCAAATTTTCATATTACCTAGTTCTTAACATTACTACATCAACCGAACTGAAATCGGAAATGCTTTTATACGTAAACATATTAAGATAAAGGGTCCCTAACATAAATCATATTTTATAAAGTTGTTTATTATCTTCCATTTCATTTTAAATATTGTTGTAGATTTTAGAATCTATTTCATTCTAAGTGTCGTTTTATAACTTTAATACAAATTTTTACAGTTTTTCAATTTCCATCTCTACCTTTCAGCTCATTAAAAACAAATAAAATAGTA